TTCCTTGTTTCAAGGGAGACAAACAATCTTCCTCGACAAACAGTCCCACTTTCACCATCAAGAGGACTAAAGTGCGCTAAGTAAGTTTTATTTGCTTTCCTCTTTTCCGTGGAGTTTTAAATACTGTCAACAAGAGCTGAATAATTTTATTTTTCTCAAACGTTCCCCCTGCTGTCGTAACAGATCACCAGTAATCTTCTTAAGAGCAGTATTCATGAGCATGCGTTATCGAAAAGCCGATGTCTTAAAAACCAATTTAGTGGATTGTGAATCGGTTAGGTAACCGGCATGTTTTGAGTTCTTCCAGGTCTATTTTGGGTGCATCCATGAATTTTTTCGTAGAGGAAAATTATAGATTAAACCCTTCCAATGTTTATGAAACTTGATTGACGTTTTTTGAAAAATCTGGAATCGCGTGGCGTTTGGTACGCCATACTGGGCCGGTGAACAAATGACACAAATGAGGCAATGTATGCAAGAGTCGGAGAGGCTCCTGATTAATCGTGTGTTTGAAAAGTTTTGTTGCATCGAGCCAAAAGCAAGCGGGCATAGAAAGAATGCTATTGCCAATAGCCGCCAACAGGTCCAGGAGCTCGTATCCTCAAAATAACCCAAGATATTATAGGAAACTAATTGAGTACTTTTCTGAAGCCCTTCCGAAGACGAACCGCCATATAACATTATTCGAGATAGCTCAGTGCTAGCACGAAAGTAGGCTGCAGACTTCAAATAAGAACGGAAACCTTCCGCAAGAGAAGAACATGATTAATTCTTCATATTATTAACTTCGAATATTCAATTTTCCACTCAGCTCATCCATAATCCAATAATTTAGCCTTGAACTCCCAATTGATCCTGCTGACTATGAAATCGGCGCGAAAAATAACACTGGCACGCGCCAAACGTGTTCACACGCAAGCACACGAATCGCGCGGAGCAGTCTCGCTCGAGGTAAGTCACTTGCGTGAACGCTCCAAAGCAAGTTATTTTTTGCATGGAATATCTTCCTTTTTCCCAAATACAACTTCAAACCTTCGTAAAGCGCTGCACTGGTATCGAAGAGGTCATGGGTTCAAATCCCGTAGAGGCCTGAATTTTTTTTCAGGCCTTAATTTCACCACTGCTCAAGTAATGCCGGTTTATCACTGCAAAGATCGCTTTCATGTTTACGTCTTTATCCGCAGTTCAAATATATGACTTTCATATATTCACAGTCGTTTATTACAACTTCAAATCATCGCATAATTTGCAATTTCCGCTTGTTGATTTGTGTTCATCTTTTTTTTTTTTTTATCTTAAAATAGAAATCAGCGTACTGAAAAGAAGCAGTGAAACTTAAAAAGTAGAAATCGGGTTGCTTTCCTTCTTTGCTACCAGAGATAAAGATTATTTTAGACGGCTTATCTGTCAGGACGGGTTTTAAATCGGGTAAAAATGTCAAAAGAAAGACAAATATATTGAATATCACATTCAGCAGATACCGATAACGACTGAAATGAATAGAAGTTTTTATTTTCCTCACTTCAAGTTTTGTATATGCAAGGCCGATTTCCTCTCATTCGACTCTAGTCTGGTTAAAAAAAAAAAAAAAAAAAATTCGAAGCATCGTGGGCGGAGTTTTAGGAAACCTGGAATAAGGCCAATTTACTCTTTATCTCTATTAATTTGCCCCTCATCAAACACAAACATTCTGCACCGAGGGAGTCAGTCTAACCCCTGTGTAGTATTAGTACTAATTGAAATATTCTAGAATAAGGAAATGTCAGAAAACATTGCTTCCTTTGAAAAGTTTATTAAAACTCAATGAGAATATACAGTATATATTTTCCAGTTTTGAAAAAATAATTTTCGAAACAAGATCGTGCATGGTTGGATTCTAGCCGAAGTCACCGGCCTTTCAGGATTCAGTTACCGGAAAACTCTCGGTTAACACTCAATAAATTTCCTAATAGGGGGAAATCTGATTTGCATTAAATACCCCTAGAAAGAGATTAAAAGTATTTTCTATAATTGATCAGCACTAAGTAATTTTCGGCCATCCGGGTAATTTTACCTTTAGGCAATAAAGGATTGTCCAGATCCAACAGCTCGGCCGGGTAATTAAATTTTTGAGCGGTGTACTTAACGAGGTTGTCGTGAGTGTCAGCGCTTGGCGGACGAGTACTTGTAAACTGAAAATTTAACCGGAAAGAAAAGTGGATAGGACTCATGTAAAAATAAACATTTTTGGTGTGGAAATGTCTGCATTACAATTGTCATGGAAAAGCGTTCGCCTAATATCTCTAATTGAAAAGCGTGACTTAGCTGATTTCGCGTGATCTCCAAAACAAACCGGATGTAAGGATTTCACCAAAGATCTAATTGACTCCAACCAAGGGAGCATTTTTCGATGAAAATGACCATTCATAGTGCCATGAAGCCACAAATTGACCAGTTAAGTTCTTACCTAGCCGTGAATAAACAATACAATGTATAGATCCTCAAGACGGGAAGTTTATTTTTTTTATGTGATTGAATCATTAAGAAAAAACTTTTTAGCGACTGTTACTCTGATTGTTACCGTTTAGCATCACTACATAATTCAATTAATGGATGGCGCCCTTGAATGTTCAGTGGAACACGCACAAGTTCTATGCGAGCTGCGCATGATTGGTCTATAGTCGATTTGTAGAATTAATAGCTTAAACACTTCCGCTATCTAACTTTAATAACTCTAAGTTCGATCCCTTTACTTCTAGTAGGCGTCAAGTCTTGTGCAATGACGCCTTCCTTTAACAAATACTGACTTATTTATGTTTCAGCTAAAAAAGATATAACGGAAAGCAGAAAATACGATCGGGTTATATCTTTTTAAAAAAGGTGACATTATTGAGTGAGTGGGTGACTTAGAGATCCAATTACAGGTCATAAAAGCCGGATGTGTGGCCTCAAGCTAAACGGAAAGTTATATTTAGAAAGAAAATTGCTCGATCACTTTGCTAAAGTGATATCTTAAACGGGCAAGGACGGTCCACGACCCGATTTTTTCTCATTAGGAACCTTAAGCAAACCATTATGGTGACGCCAACGAGGACGTGGCAGTACAAAAGACATACTGGGCAGAACAATAGCTCAGCACGTCCTTTGCAAAACAACAACGCGAAATCACCAAAATTTGTGTGGTTTGAGAACGGAAACCCCGACGGCAAATTATTTAACTTTCCATTTGGTACTCAACGCCGCCGCTCACATACGTTATGCTGAAGTTGAGGTGTGGCGTTGTAAGAGAAGCCATGCGCGACATTCTGACTGAAATATGAATAAATATTCTAATCGACATCTTCCTCAACGTTCTCATCCTGGCTATTATATCACGTCCGTTTGGAGATGAGGAGTGACTGAGTCATGGGGGGGCGCCAGATGGGTGGAACACGATTGGGTGGGGTTCTGTAAGAGACTCCAGTCACGTACCTGGAACCATGTCACGTACAGAAACTTTTGGCGTTTGGAGCAACTTTTTGCGGTTCTAGAAACCTCGAGAGATTTTTGCGTTTCATAACAATTTTGCTTTTCAGAGCAATTTTGAGCAAAATGTAGGTTCAAGGACATATCAAGCACGGGAAAGTCAACGATTTCGTAGAAAACTTCAATGTATGCGAATTTCTTCAGTGTTTATCTCTGAGAATACAATTAAAAGAGCTAGTTTCGTTCAAGTTCCCTCATATCGTCAGGCAAGAGGTCGAATGAACCATGTGTTTTGTTGCGTTAGATTTGAATTATTCATACATTTTGCCAATATTAGATTTGGGAGCGAGCAACTCTTTAAAGCTAAGTTTCAGGCAACATTTCTTGACCGATGTCATTAATTATTGTGAAGAACGAAAAATAAAGGTTTTAAGCATCGTTTATGCAGAAATATCAAGAAATTTGGGATCCCTATTAGAAATTCGTATCCCTACTATTTGATAAAGTGAAGAAGGAGGGAAAAGACGCTTGTTCATGGGGGGCGATTGTTTAATATTACGGCCCAAGAGTGGGCACTTAATCGGGGGAAGGTGCTTATTAGAACGTGGGCGCTTATTCGCTGTATTTTTCGGTCCTTTTCGCTGCATGAATTCAGGTTTGCCAATAAGCAAGATAAAGGAGCGGTATTAGCCTCTCACGTAAGGCGCAATAAAATTCGTCCATGTAATTCCCACTTTGAAAGTCTTAGCTATGCGTCGCAAATAGGGCAGCTCTCTCTTCTATCCTTCCTCGGCCTCGCTTGGAGGGTAGTCTCCTTCTCTATCTTGGATGCACATGGGTAAGAGAATATCAACTGGTATTCTCTTGAATAAAGGGGGTTAGTTTCTAAAGAAACTGTGGTGCTGCGTCGGTAGGAGAGTATAGCAGGTAATTTAGTGTTAACAACTGGGTTGAAAACGTAAATTAGCCACCGTAAAGAGTAAAAAAGCTGACGTTTCGAGCGTTAGCCCTTCATTAGCTCTGACGAAGGGCTAACGCTCGAAAAGTCAGCTTTTTTACCCTTTTGCGATGGCTAATTTACGTTTTCAACTCAGTTGTTAACACTAAATTACTTGATATTCTCTTGTCTATGCGCATGCCCTGGTAAAGGGCGTGGTCTTATCAAAGTTAATAAAACATAATAGACTCGCTCGAATACGAGAAAAGAGATTTGTTTACGAATTATCGTACTTTTCTGTGATAATTTTTTTCGTTTCATGATTAAAATTTAAATGGAGCGCAACCTTAACCATTGTAATCATTCGAGGTGGCCTTCGGAAATATAAAAGAGTCGTTATCGGAAATTTTTGGGCGAATCACGCCTTCGACTCCAAGAAAAGTTAACCATTATGTGAGGTAGAAACAATAAATGGCTAAAAGTTAGTCAAAAAGGGGAACTCGACAGGTTTCTTTGCTAGTCTCTTGTTGTTGTTGTTTTTTTACTTAGTCCGGGTAAGGTGCGTGACATAACATTAACCAGAATGCATAGCGATGGTATATTTCGATTTTGGCGTCCATGGACACACTAAAAGATGTGAAATATTAGCTAAAAATATTTAATTTAATGTCTTTTTAACTGCATACTTGGAACATCTCACTTGATTTGCCTTTAATTTACAATCTGTACTATCTTGTTTGTCCAACATGTTTCGGAAGTCGTCGCTGTAAGAAGAAAGAACCGGCAGTTACGAACTCGTAGCATGAATCAGGAACAAGCCGAGGGAGAGTCACTCGAGTCTCATGTGAAAGACCTTGTGCTAGAAAGAGAAATTGGAAGGGGATCGTATGGAAAAGTGTACAAAGCTCTATGGAAAGGAAAAGAAGTGGCAGCGAAAAGGTTTCACGCCGTTCTCGCTAATGATAGCTGCGGCCAAATGATCGACCACTTTAGAGAAGAGTTCCAGCGAGAATGGGATGCTCTCAAGTCACTCAATCATCCGAACGTGGTCAAATTCCATGAAGTTGTGTTTCCCAAGGGAAGATTGCCTATAATTATTACAGAACTTTTGCACTGCGATCTGGAAAGGTTCATTAGAGAATCGAAGTCGTCCCCAAAAGTCCCACTAATTAATCTGATATGCATAGCCTTAGACGTGATTCAAGGTCTTCAGTTTATGCATGGCTTAGAAAATCCAATTGTCCATCGCGACCTGGCGACAAAAAATATCCTACTAACAGATACCGGCACTGCCAAGATCGCGGACATGGGCGTGGCTAAAGTTTTTGTCCAAGGGTACGAAATGTATGCAACTCCCGTGCGAGGCACACCAGTTTATGCAGCACCAGAAACATATCCAGCTATGGAGAATTTTGAAATCGTTAACAATCCAAAGTATGGTACCCAAGTGGATATATTTTCTTTTGGTGTCATGTTACTGGCCATGGCTGTTGGTCATGAGCCTAAAGTCTGGCCAATTTCTCCAATTACCAAAGGTATTATGATTATTAGTTGAGTGATGTGCAATAAATGTTTGGTGATGGGGTTTTGGTCATAAAATTACTGTTTTATCATGGGCAACCTTCCTCGTTTCCAAAGGTAACTGAGTCTTAATTAATGGCTGTGCATTGCCAACCATCACAGGTGAAAACCTGCCAAAAGAGGCCCATAGACATGTCCTTACTGGAAAAACAGCCAGTTGCCCATGACAACAATATGATTTTAACGTCAAAATGTGGTTGAAAAACTTGTTGCCCTCACTCAACTGAAAATGTATGTACCACACACACACACATGATGTCCTAGTATTCTACTCAAGTGGCCTAATAGCCATCTTGCTTTTAGAGCATCATCACAAGCAGTTCATTGTTTATCTTTTTTCTAATAACTCAACAAAATCACACTCTAGTACCATTAAATTCCTGCCTAAAAGAACATTTTTTCAAAATGCCTGGTTTACAATAGAGTGTTTCAATAAAGTGATTGTCAGTTATTTCTTGCAAAGAGTTTAATGTAACTCTTTTGTTATGTTAATTTCTTTCAGGCGGGAAGAAGGTTAGTGAATATGAACGTCGCAAAGCTGACATCAACGAGATGGGAGATCATTTAGTACAAAGTTTAGTACTCAGGTGTTTGGAGAATGACAGCAGCTGTCGTCCATCTGCTAAAGATATCAAAATAGAATTAGAGAAGCACAAGTGGAACCTAGTGCGGCATTCTGAGTCTTATGAAATGAATGAAGAAGCTGTAATTGAGAAGGTGCAGCGTCAACCCAGTTATGACTACAAATTTAAGATCCTCTTCATAGGTGATAGGGGAGTGGGGAAGTCATGCCTTTTTCAGCGCTTTCGAAACCCTGCATATGACATTTTTATGAGTACAATGACCATAGGCTTAGAAGTTGACATTGAGTCCTTTAAGTATGGCTCCAAGTTTGTACATTTAGAAGTAGTTGATACTGCTGGACAAGAGCAGTTCTTTGCAGTGCAAGCCATGTATTTTCGTGGAGTACATGGCATTTTTCTGGTGTGTGATGTAACAAATCGTGAAACTTTCCAGCACATTTCCAGGTGGCTTGACCTAGCTCGCCTTTACTGCACTGAAACTAATGCTTTGATTATTCTCATTGGCAACAAAATCGACCAAGGAGAGAATCGCAAAGTTTCTCGTGAGGAGGGTGAAGAGCTTGCCAAATGTCATGGGCTAAGCTACTTAGAGGTCAGTGCTTTAGATGTTGGAAATATTGAAGACATGTTCAAAACAATGATTCAGCTTCTCACACGGTCTGTTGACCTTGGTACAATTAAAATTGAACTGCCTGAGACTGATGATAAGGTAAAGTTGAAGAAAGGTTCAAAGAAGTCCAAATGCAAGTGTAACTCAACATAAAATGGCCAACATTCCTCTGTGGGTGGAGAATAGATTTTTGTTGAACATTACATGTTGCAGTGTTTTACACTACATGTTTGGTTTATGTTGTATGGAGGTAGTGGCCCTAACACTGCACGAGGTAGTGTTTAGGAGTATCCTTTTTCCTGCAGGAGAGAATGCTTCTCTGTCATGGGTTACCCATTGATATTTTGACAGTTTGCTTGAACATGTTTATACACCTTGATGAAGAGAAGCTTTGTGAGAGGAGAAAGTGTCTCACCCAACATGCAAAACCATGAAACAGCCAGGGCTCAAAAAAGGCCCTTGACTAAATTGTGAGTCCACAAGCCTGATTATTAAGCAGGAGCACACCACCTCATATGGCTTACTTATTTTAACCCTGTAACTCTCATGAGTCACCAAGACAGAACAAGAATGAGAACAAAGGGAAATATCAATGAGTAATGGTAGTGGGACGGAGTGGAGTCAAATTTGTTCTGTGATCATACAAGTGATTAACAAATCAAATGACCAAAAAGTATGAGTGCGATTTGTCAGTTAGGCATATGATTACAGACAGAATTGGATGATATTAAATCCTGTTACCAATTAATCAAAACTATGACAAAAAAACCAGATTGGTTATATACTTTCAAACTTTTTGCTTCGTGAAATGCATGATAACAGCACCCACACTTGATGAGTACTATCCAATTACAAGTATGATGTGTACACTGTCCTTTTCATGTTCGATCAGGCTGGTGATAACCAATCATGTTCCCAAATTTTGTTATAGTTTTAATTGGGGATTATTAGTTGATTTAATACTGAAATACTGACATCATATGTATTGTATTGTAGACAGTAAGGAGAATTATTAATGATATCTTGGAAGTGAAGGATTAAGAAGTGGAGTGTGTTATTATGTTTTAACGACAGAAAACAAATGGAAGCTTCATGTAGCTTAAAACTGTGGTGGAGATGCAATATGAATTGCCTCAGCCTCAGCCTCATCTTAGCTGTAGGCAGTCAACTTTTTGTCGAAGCAGAAATTTATGTGAAAGTTCCACCATTAATTAATTCCTCATGTTCTCTTTAAGAAAAGACTTACCAGTTCTAACTGATTGTGGATATTTCTCTGGAGGAGCTTTAAAGAGAGACATGGGATTTTTTAAGTTTTTTAAAGTTTTTTTTAATGCAGTGCCTCAGAAGCCTCCTATGCAGTGTTACATGACAACACCCAATGAAGAACATGAAGAATGTTGAATGTATATTGGAGATGTTATTATTAGAGGAGTTATTTCATTTTTTAGCTGCCTCAGAAGCCTCCTATGCAACTGTTTTTTGGTCTTTCCATGGCAAAAACCTATTCCCCTTTCCTACCAGATAGTGTGTTACATGACAACACCCAATGAAGAACATGAAGAATGTTGAATGTATATTGGAGATGTTATTATTCAATGTCCAATTCAGTCTATAATCATATGAGTGATGACAAAACTGGATGACTGTAGCGGGAGTCTGATTTGTTTATTACAAGTATGATTACAGACTGAATTGGAGGACATAAAGTATTATTACCAATTAATCATAAAAGTTACAATTTCTGAAAAAAGAAGAATAGCCAAGATTTGCCATCTGGACTGTTAGCATAAACATTTGTGCCATAGGATAAACAAAATCACTGGTCCTCTAAAATATTGTCATTGTTCAAGGGGAAAAAAATCTCCATTTTGAAGAAAGCCCAAATTTAGGAGTCTATGCACTGTTTCTATGGTGATTGAAACCAAGCTTGTGATTGGTTGATTCAAACTACAACTTTGAGTGTGGTTGGCTTATTGAACTGTCTGATAACAAACTGTCCAATAAAAACTTGGCAAGTGAACTTGTGGAAAATAGGAGTCTTTAAAACCAATCACAATGGAGAAAATTGTAATTATTTATAATTAGATTCCATTCCTAATAGTGACTGACTGCAAATTTCTCCAATAAACTTGCTTGAATCAATCAAATGGTCATAAGAATGAACAAAATGATCAACAATTTAAAAGCTCCTGATTTGTCACACAAATTTTCCTCACTAGTACCACTGGAGACAAGAAGAGAACACTGTGAAAACCCTGATTTTCCAGTCTGTTCCCCTTTCTTTGCTCAAAATTGATTACAGTTAGTGGTTGAAAGTACTAACAACTTGGTCATTGGTGACACTCTTTTTCCCAAGATTTGTCTATTTATTTTGGAAGGTTTGGTCAACTTAACTGACATTTACTTCTGTTCTTTGATCCAAATTTCCATTAGTCCAGGCCAATTTATTCTTTCAATGGAAAATCATGTACCCAAAACATTTGTATATTTCAGTACGTTTGGGATTGCAAGAAAGAGAAAAAAATAATAAAAAAAACGAAATTCACAAGTTTGAATTATGTTGTTGATATGCAACATTTTTTTCAAGAAAGCAAGATCAAGTAGTTCAAAAGAGACGCTGTCTAATTATTATTGCATAATTTATTCATGAAAGGAAAACCACAATATTAAATATCAGCCAATAAACGTGCAGCACTACTGCTAACACTTATTTCACCGGCTTGAAATAAAAAAACTGAAGTATCACGCCGTGAACTGAGACCAAATTATCAGTTGTACCAAGCGAGTTCCCTGAAAAGAATTGTAAAATTATTTTTAGCTACTAAGCCAAAATGGAGAAGAAACGGCAACAGTTCGGCCTGCGCTCGGATGAAGTTCCCGCTCAATTCCGCGAAATGTTCATCTGTTCTGGCTATCGCAAACCTTACAGTACGGCGATGGATTGTGTGAAGAGTGCTTTCTTGCCACTGAACGAAACTGTCAACGTTTGGACACACTTTGTCCCTTTTCTGCTTTTCCTGGTACGTTTTGCCTTTTTATTCTCGAAATATTCTCTTATCAAGGACGCTTATGTGTATCCTTTGCTGTCATTTGCCATTGGAATCTGCGGATTTTTGTTGATGAGTTCTGGAGCACATCTCTTCAACTCCATGTCTCCGAGAGTACGACACATTTGCTTCTTCTTCGATTATTCAGCAATAAGTGTTTACAGTGTCGGAGCAGGACAAGCATTCTACTTCTACAGTCGCTCTCTGAATAGTAGTGACACTTTGTTCAATTCCTGTAGCGCTTTCTTAGCGATTTCATGTTTAATTTCCGTTTTCTCAACCTTCACCTGTTGTGCCTCGAGGCACAGATGGCCTAAGATGAAATACGTTATTCGCACGCTTTGCTTTGTGCTAGCGTTTTTCTTCAACAGTTTCCCATATTTACATCGTGTATTTGTGGATTCACCATCCCAGTTTGATGCGCCGGAAGAGCAGCTCGCCATCTCCTATTTCAGACGTCACTCGCTCTTCTACCTAATTTCTGCGTTAGCCAACATGTCGCGAATGCCTGAGCGGTTAATACCCGGTGTGTTCGATTTAGTTGGCCACAGCCATCACTTCCTCCATGTGTTCACTGCTCTTGGGGCAGCGGATCAATTCACAGCCATTCAAATCCAAATGGAATCGAGACGAAACGATTTGGAGCGTTTCCCAATTGCAACATTTGGGAACAGTTTAGGTCTTATGGTGTTTATTTGTGTAATTAACTGCGGTATAGTGTTATGGTTTGGTAAGAGTCTTCGATCGAACAAGGAGGAAGAGCACAAATCACTATAACTGTTTAAAGATGTTACGCGTTTTATTTTTCGATCGATTGTGTTACAACCTTCCGAAGCTTTGGGATTCGATAGGTGAAACTCTGAGTAAAATTAGCATACTTCTATTCATTAGTCTTTTGTTGCTTTGAGAAGTGTTTGTGATTTTTCATTTTTCAAAAGAAACGCTTTTAAGACAGTCACAATATCACTGAATTTCGAGCTCGCAGGTAATAAAACATTTAACAGGGAATACTTCAATTGATACAAATCTAGTTTAAAATGAAATCGCTTTTTGAAGAGAAAAGTTGACAGGAAATATAGAATTTTGCTATTCTTGGTGAAACAAATTTAGAAAAACGTTGTTTGTTGGAAGAAATGTTTCTTTAGAGTAAGTTAGTAAAATTTGGTCGGCTTAATATTTGAGAAATAAACGAACAAAGATGAATCTGCCAGTGTATATTTAACCAGTTTATTGTCACAAGAACATGGGACTTGATTTCGAATGGAATTGGTTCCAGGTATAAGTACCCGCCAAATGATAGCTTAACTTGATAAAATACCCGCAGCCAGTGACGTTAATTTAGACCATCCATTTATCATAATTTATATCATATTCAATTTTTTGCTCGGCTATCCCCCGTACCCTTTTATTTTAATTTATTTTATCGTTCCTGCCAAAATTCTGCCACTGAAATGTTTTAGTTTAGTACCTTTGGAGATGAAGTTTTCTGTTTTCTTTTGGCGAAGAGATGCGGTCTAAGCTCACTGACAGAAAGTTAAAAAGTTAAAAGAAATACCATACTCTGTTACAGTCTTCCTCTCTGAAAAGATCCCAAATTAAATAACGGTTCGTTCCTTTAGGTTGCAGACGAGTCTTAAGATGCTATCCGAGGGAGGGAGGGAAGGTAATCCTTGACCAGTCTGTCACACGATGTAAAGCGTGACACTGCTTTGGCTGTATCCCAAATTAAAGCTAGAAGCTAGAGATCTAAACATGACTGTCGGGGAGTTTCTCGTTTGCTTCTCGGAAAAATGTCACAAAGAAGACATAAAACAGTATATCATCGACTGCCTAAATTCTGCTAAGTTTAGCGTAACCCGAGAGGAATTTGAAGGGAAAACTTTACTGACCATCGGCGCTCAGTTCGATGTCCTTGCACAGAAGGTGAGGCTGGTGCTTAGGTCAGATATCGAACAAATTGTTTTACTCAAAGGGTATTTTAAAAAAATTATTTGGGCCTTCGATACCGTTAAGGAACAAGAAAAATTATTGAGTAGAAAACTTCTTGTTTAGGCGGAAGAGACCGGTTTGGAGAAAACAGCAACAGCTGAAAACAAGGTAAGAACGTTTATCGTGGTTGTTTGCAAGTGGATGCACTGCAGAATTTTTTATTCTTGTTTAATATTAATGACCAATATTAGCATAGGCCACGTTTTAATACTTCGTGTATCCTAGAAATATCGATTCTTTTGGAGAGTTATTATGCTTTTTGTTCCTTTAAAATTATTGAGTTTAACTAGAGAGGCAATAATGTCATATTTCCCAGATCCGACTGAGATATATTGCAACAAACTAGTGCGTGTAAACTGTCAGAATTGTTTAACTTGTACCGATAAGTTTGTACTTTGTACTTTTCCGCCACAAAATAATGGTAAAGGCAGTACTAATGATGATGATAGTGATGACAGGTAGGGTGTAATTAATCTTTTTTAATGCAGTAAATTATTCCCATTTCTTGACAAAGAGGGGGGTTACTTACACCCGAGTACCCTCTTTTGCCACACCCGTAATGACTCGAGTTTGTTTTTTTCACCCAATGTGAAGCACTTGTAGGGTGCAGTTGATTTTCTGTTCTGAACAGGCCTCCTAACCGGCCCTTCTCTCCCAACCCCAATTGATTCAAGGGCTCATTTATTTCTTTTTGCTTTTAATGTATACTTAAGCTGGCTTTACCCTTTCCTTTGAGTGAAAAACAGTAGGATCAGGCAAGCACAACCAATTTTGGTTCCTTTTCCACTCTTTTTCTGGTGCCCACTCACTGAGAGCCTAGAAAAGGCCACTTTTTATCCTTCCTGCCCCTAAAAAGTAGTAGGTAACATGAGGGGGCAGACAAGAGGGTACCTTTATCAAGCCTATCTATTGTCTGCCAGTAACAATGAACTAGAAGAAAACAATTTCACAGGATTGATGAACTTGAAATTCCTGCAACTTTCACAATTTTTTTCACAGATTTGCCTGTTTGTTTTTGAAAGGCTTAGTGAGTATGTTGGAAATGAAAATCAGGAAACATTTTTCACTCCAGCTGAAAGAGCATATCTGCTTGAGATTTGCTTGGAGTCTGTGCAGTATAACAGGGTAAGTTGATCCTAAATAATGTTTTACTGGACCATAGATAACAATGATTGTGGTAAATTTGCCACAGATTGTGGTTACTCCTTGAACAGTGCATGGTACCAGCTCTTGTCAGGTGTGTTTCAATGACTTAATGCAGCTTTTTATTTTGATGACTGGCAAAAATGCTGCACTCAGCTATTTATTTATCTGAGGATTGAAGAACATGATTGTTGAATTTCAGTTATGAAATTTATTAGCTGATAAAAACCTTGTGTGACATTAAATTACATTAAATTATCATTTTGTTTACAATTATTATTTTTTTTAATTTTAAATGTTCAAAGTAAAAAATAAAATTATGATCAGATTCTTCCACGAGAAAGAAGAACCCTCTAAAATGTGCTACTCCCAGTGTGTGGCTTGGTAGCTCAGTTTCTTAGTTGGTTGTAGCACCCAAATAGTATCTGGGAGGCGCAGGTTCAACTCCTATCAAAGCCTGATTTTTTTTCATTTCTGCTATTGCTTAAATTGTGTCTCACCAGTGAGAACCATGAATTGCTTTACTTTATTTCCTCTTTGTTAGGAACATTTGAAGTCTCTTGGTGTTACTTCTAGAGGGGAGGGTTCATTTGTTACAGACTTGCTGCATTCCAAGCCACCAATTTTTGAGTCTGCTTTGCCTCTTCATCAACCCCATGAACAAGAGAAAATATGGAATAAAATGAAACAAAATGTGATTGTTTGTCCCTTGCAAGAAATTAGAGACTACTATGGTAAATTTGAACTTTTATCAAATGAATATTATGTTAGGGTTGATTTTATGTTTATTGGTAACTGTACCAATCTGAAATGAAATGTAAGACTAATGAATATGATATATGTACATGTTGAATTTACTGGATAGGACCCATGATCTGCCTGTGAAAAATAACATTGATAATTGTCTTGATTATAAAAACAGACTCTCTTAAAAGGGAGAAATATCTTTAATTCAGAAATACACAGTACCAAGAACTGTCTATTTCAATATCTTTATACTATGAATGTGTCTGTAGATATCTTATCCAGTTTCCTGCTTTGTTCCTATGATCCTTGATGTCCCTATCATACTATCCTCAGTGCCCCACTCCTTCCCCTTCAAGATTATATCTTTCAGACACTGTTATGTTCCTTATTATTCACTGAGAAAGTTATTATTGTTGTTTGTTTGTTGGGCTTTTTTTTAACGTGTCAGGGGCATTTATCTGTCTTTGAGGAAGCTAAGCAAAATTGGTTCCACTCTAAACAAATCTGTAACTTTGTTTGTAGGAGAAAATGTAGCATTTTATTTTGGATGGATGACATGTTTCACCTGGACTTTAGTGCCAATAGCTTTTGCAGGAGTCCTGTTGTATTTCTTCAAGCCACCTGGTGTCACTGTGGATGACAACCCTCTGTTACCATTGTATGAAGTTCTAATGGCTTTCTGGGCAATCAGCTTTCTGACGGTAAGAAAGACTTGATAATCAATTAGATCATGGCTTCCCCTGAGACCCTTGAACTCCCAAGATCTGACTTTTGATTCTCCTTTCCAGCTGCTACATATTTCCTTGCAATTTATTTACAAGAATTTGGGGCTAGATCAAGATAACAACTACCTGATAAGTTTGAGTTAATGTTCATTACCTGTTTGCTGGATGATGTGTGGATGTTAAAGGGAGAAGTTACCAGTCAATCACTTTTGGGAGTGGAAAGGTTAACTCTTTACTTAACATGCAGTAGGTTCTACAATCATGATAATGTCAATTGTGAAAACATACAAATTTACCATCAAACTTCTCTACAAAAGCTATCAGATTATTAATTTCTTAAATTATTTTAGCTACTAATTAATCTTTCAGCGATGAAAGAAGGGGGGGTAAGTTTACCAATTACTTATTGACATGTCGGGAAATTAATTTTTTCAATATATGGCCTTGTGAACTCGTCATTTCTTTTAATTCCTCAAGCAATTTTTTTTCCTATTCAGCTCACTAATTATTGCTCATTTGTAGGATCATTTGTTAAATATTAAACATCAATTTATTTCACTATCAGGTATGGAAAAGAAAAGAATCAGAATATTCTTTTTTGTGGCGAACACACGGCCTTGAACACTTAGAACTGCTTCGTCCTGAGTTTTCTGGTGAAATACGGCCCAGTCCTATAACTGGCAAACCAGAGAAGTATTTTCCCAGATGGAAAAGATGGCTACGTTATGGTTTAAGTTTCATGTTGACCTTACCAGTCCTTCTGTTGGCTATTGGTGCAATGCTGTGTTCATTGAACTTCAATGGATACATCAAGGATAAAGAGAGTCCTGTCTACATTGCATCCTTTGCTTACTTTGCAGAACCGGTTAGTTTCTAAGCTGTTTGAGTGAACTTTTATTCTTGGTTGAAATGTTTGTCCAAACTAGTTTTGTTTGTAATAATCATAATCTTAATTTAAACAAGATTTTAAACAAAGAGAAAATTTTAACTGCATTTTACTTATCCATCTTCTCATTATTAAATTTATGTATATCAAGTTATCTTAGTTGTAAGTGATAGTGAGTGTACAGTACATTATCCTATTTTGATCTTTGGAAATAAATTGTATTTAGCATATGGAAATTCACTGCTCAAAACATCATATTTCAAACTAACACTACTCAGCTATTAATATTTATCTGAGGATTGAAGAACATACAATTGTTGAATCTCAGTTACTAAATTTCTTAGCTGATGGAAACCTTGTCTGACATTAAATTATCCGGACTTCTCATATAATCTTCTAAATTATCATGGCTTCTCATATATTCCTCCCTCTTTCGTTGATTTCTGCAAAATTTGAAAACAGTGTACATGTAGATCTTTTTTGAATTTTCTGCTTTCTGCTTTCTGCCACTCTGTTGCACCTTGAATATCCTGAAAACTTCCCATCCCATAATTAACTTAAGGTAACTCCAAAAATCTTTTTTAACTATTGTAATGTAATCTCTTATTGCTTCTGTAACAAAAACTCCTATCAAAAAAAAAGGTTATGGACTGTATTCAAACCTTTTAACCTCAAGAGTGACCAGCTTCTAATTTCCCCTTTATGTTCACAAAATATAAAAGTAATACTACCTGTTGAGTCATGAGAGTAAAGGAAATGATCACCAACCTAATAAGCTTTGATTGTTAAACAAATTCTCCATGTCAATACCATGGGAACTGTATGGAAAACAGTTTGAAGAATAGGGTGTATTCAGGGTTAGCCTTTGTATGAGGGGGTGGAATGAAAAGTGCTCTATAAGTCTCCTTTTTTGTTTTACTGTTGTTGATCATTTAATAATTTCTTTTTTATTATTATTATCATTATAAGGGCCACATTTTTGCAGCTGATAACAAGTACTATGGTTACCTGATCCCTACAATTGGCCATTCAGTGGTTATCAATATTTTGAACAAACTGTACCGTTCTGTGGCACACTTTTGTACTGATCTGGAAAATCATAGGTAATGGTTTGAACCTGTTTTCTCAAATTATTACACAAATATACAAAAAAACTTTAGCTGCATAAGATGATTTAAAGCAATAGAAACTATGGCCAAGTTGTTCTCTACAACCTGGACAAGGAATGGCAGGTGTTTAACCCTTTAACTCCCAAGATTTCATCAGTAATTCTCCCTACTGTCTGTCATACAATTCATGTGATGTTAGTTTGGAGAATTTGAAATTGGATCAACCAATAATCCCCTAGTTGATATCTTTCTTTATTCTCATTACATGTCTGCTTGATATCATACATATAGTGTAAGGAGAAATTCTGTCTGGGTCTCTACTGGGACTTAAAGGGTTAAGACATATTGAGATATAAATGAAATTTGATGAAAAAGATGTTTGTTTATTAAGTGCTAGGAATCTAAATTACTTTTTGCAAATAACCCTCTGACACCTAAGAGTGATTGGCATCTGATATCTCCTCACAGTATCACCATGAATCACACATTGAGGTTATGAGAATAAAGGAAATGATCAACTAAAGAATCTCTTGATTGTGAAATGAATTCTCTTTATTAGCTCAGAAATGTATCAAGAGAACACTAAGGAGAATGTGTATTCTGATATTAGGGTGTAAAGGGTTAAGCAATAGATATGGCAATGGACAGAATGATTATTCATCTTGGGTGATTTTTCTGTTCCACAATGGAACACAATTTTGTACTTTTTTACAGAAAGAACTCGATTGTTATAATTTTCTCTTGTTTTTTACAGGACTGAAAAAGATTGGGACAACTCTCTTATAATAAAACGTGTCTTGTTTGAGGTCTTTGACTGCTTCCTTCCTCTCTTCTACATTGCATTCTACCAGCTCAATGTTGTTGCTCTGAGGAGAGAACTTGTTGGACTGTTTTGGGGTAAGTGTGTGAGTGAAGTTATACCCCTTTGGGATACACTTTTTTTTTTGGGTGGGGGCGGGGGAATTGGGAATGTCATTTGTGCAAAAAGTGGATTATTTGCAGTTGTATTTCCACTGATTCAATATTTAGATTCACCAACTTTTTTGTTTTTTGCCTTTCTGTTTTTGTCTTAGGTGATGAAATTCGTCGCTTAGTAACAGAATCAATTCTCCCATATTTGACAGAGAAAGGTCATGTATGGAAAATACAGAGAGATTATGCTAAAAGCAAAAAGGATTCAGAAGAGAAAACATTTATTCCTTCTCAGGTGAATGCACTGATCTGTTCATCCTTTATCTACCATTATAATGCAAACATAGCTACAAGTTGCATTATTGTTTTCTTCGGATTTAATTTTTCCTTGTTTTTGATGCAATTTAATTATATTTTTGGTCTACTGGTTGTCTGGTCTTAATTTTAATTAGCACATCTTTCTGATGATAGGCTCAGCAGGACATTGTTTTAGAGGAATATGAACAGTTTGATGATTATTTGGAAATGGTTGTACAGTTTGGGGTAAGTATAGTTTTTCAAATTAGCAGTTTAGGACTAGAATTAATCTGGTTATAAAGTTAGGTAATTGTACAAAAAACATGAAAAAGGAGAGTATATTTTAAATTCCAATAGTTCACTGATTCCTGACTTTAAAATTTTACATGTTATGGAAAAATTAAGTCAAGTATGTTTATTAATTTATTAGAATAAGAGAGAAGGTAAGTTTTGAGCTTGGTAAAGAAATAGAGAAAGATGTTTTTTGTCTTATCTCAAGCATGGGACAAAGTTCCCATGAGGAATCTAACCACAGATGTTCAAATTCTGTGCTCCCTTGCTCTACCACTGAGCCGCAGAAACTCTATGGTGAGCAAGGCCCATCACAAAGTTCATATATGACACATGTACTGCATACTTCAAGGATCAGTAATTTCAATAGCAATTAATCAACAATTTCTTTTGTTCACCAGTATGTGACACTGTTTGCCTCTGCATTTCCACTTGCTGCTGTTGTGAGCATCGTGTTCTTGTTCATAGAGGGAAGGGCTGATTTGTTCAAGTTACTTTATGTGTGTCAACGACCACGAGTAAGAAGGTATGTCCAGGGTTAGTTCCTTGCAGGTCAACATGAACATGCACACAGTACCCCAGAACTTCTAAATTCTCAAAATTCAAACTGTCTTTCACTTGTCTGTTGGCTCAAACTAATGAAGACTAAAACAATTTATTGTTATCCTGCAAAATAACTTGAATTAGCCCCAGGCCTCTGTACTGCAACTGGTCAGCTGTTGAGTGACATTTGTCCCTTCTGTCCCCCAGGAGCTCCTTGTTTCCTTATCAACCCTTTACCTCCCATGAGTGACCAGGAGAGAATTTCTCCTTACAATATCAAAACAATATCAGCATAGAAGTTATGAGAATAAAGTAAAATATCAATTAGGGGATTATTAGTTGATTCAATACCAAATTCTCCAAATTGACATCATAAGAATTGTATGGCAGACTGTAAAGAGAATTACTAATGAGATCTTGGGAGTTAAAGGCTTAAAGATGCCTAAACACATTCGCTGTCTACATTGTTCGCTGTATGAGTGAATGTTATGTAAGAGTGGTGTGGCAAGGAATAATTTCATCCAGGAAGAGAAGAAAGTTCTCTATTTGATCACTTCAAAAGTCATTAAAAAGAAGTCCTCAATATCTTGTCCTAGAATTCTCCGTGTGGTTGCTAAGCTAAGATTTATAAGTCCTTTCGCAGGGTATCCAATATTGGTGTGTGGTACAATGTCCTTTACCAGATGATGGTCCTCTCCATGCTTACAAACAGTTTAATTGTTGGATTTTCTTCGGAACAACTTGCTGTTTGGTGTCCCTGGATGTATGAGACCATTGACAATGATCAGTTCATTGTTTCTGGATATGGAAGGTAAGTAGGATGAATGAGATCATAAGAAACACATAACATTTTCCATTGTTTTCTGTATTAATATTATTCATTGGCACTTGGAAATCTCAATTTGTTTTCATTTTTCAGGTATGTTGTGGCTATTGTGTTTTGCATTGAGCATTTCTTGATACTGTGTGCTGTAATAGCAAGATGTTTGGTGTCTGAAAAACCCAAGTGGGTACGCATTGCAGTTGCCAAAGAAAATTATGAGAAAGCACAAGAAGAGAAGAAGAAAAAACAGAAAACTGAGTAGGGAACATGGCTTGAACAGTTTGGCTATCTTCTCAATTTCAAACATGTGACTCCACTGATGTCTGCTGGTATTAAACACACTTGGAAACTCAGGAAATCTAGTATCTAATTAGATAGAATGCAATATTTAATTGGACTAATACACTGTAGTAATTAACTCATTGACACAATGATCAAAATGCACAGCGCTTTATCATTTTCCATTGCTCTTTATTAGTTCTAGGTCAAGTTTTTTCAGTTTGTTTTTGTTTATATTCCTGGATGTTTTCTCTCAGATAAAGCATGAATCTCTAATTGCTAGCTCAAGAAATATTGATATTAGAAATTATAAATAGAAATTTAATATTTCAAACAGTTCTTTTTGTGGATAATTTATTCAACAATTCGTTAAAATTATTTATAGCTGCACAATTTGTGGGAAATATATTCAGTACACTGTGTTTAAAGAAGTTACTCATAAAAGTCTGTAACAAAAATATCCAAGAACTTCAATTAATTGTATTTGTAAGACCAAAGTATGTGCTGCAATACACCAAATAAAGTTGGAATTAAAGATAATTTATTGACAGTATGCATAAATATTTTACATTATGTTTGCCCCAATTTTCTGTTTTTGTTAGTTGGAACAGAGGCTAATTCATAAAAACAAGTTTGAATGATTACCATTACATTCCAAATTTTAGGTTTTCATGAAAGTGCAGTTGTTACTCATTCAAACTTCTTTATCTAATGCCCAACATTGTATAACTTACTGTTGCATAATGTACATCCAAAACTCTGACTGAACTGTACATTCAACAAAATTTTTGTAAATATGCACGCAATATCTAACCTCAGATTTAGTTGAGTAAAACCAAATTTAATGTTGATTTGTTTCAAAGCTAAGAACCATACAATATCCTGATCTCGATGTTAAAAATTGTTTTTTCACAAGGTACAATTGGGAGATGTGTGAAGGGTCAGGATGGCCATCAAGCAAATATTTCTTCCCCTGAAAACAGGTTAATCTCTGGAACTGTACCCTGCTTTGGTGACATATCCAGCCTCCTTTCCTTTCTGTTAAGTGATTTATTTTTCATCATGGGAGAGAAATGTGGAACAACTTGTTCTGGAAAAAAATGCAAGGGTACTTCTTTCTCATGTCACAGTTCAGTGGTTGACTCTTGCCCAAAAAGATCTAAACTAAACTTTTGACCCAGTGCATGTGCCCATAAGAGTACTCAAATGATGAACTTAAAATTTGTGGAAGCCATTAGCCACACAATTTAACTACTTGACACTGCAATAAAAGCAAAAGCTAAAAACCATTTTTGCTCAGGGATTTGAAAGATATAACATTTTGATGTAAAACTAACAACTATGGAAGTTACAATGGATCTTACCCTGTGTTTACCATTTCATAAGTGCAGTTCAATACAAAGGTCTATATTTCAAGCCCTTGTCCTTTCCTTGTGGTTGTTTTTTTTTCATAGTAAATACAAAGGAGCTCAATTATTGCTGACTCTATCAATT